CTAAGTTCATTAATGTATATACATCAGTCTGAGTCCATGCAACGATTAGTTGTAATAAAAGCGTTTTTATATAAATAGACGAAACTACTGATAAGAACACCAACTGCGATCATACCAGACATCGTCTGATACTGGAGATTTGCAAAAGATATCACGAGAATCATCCTGTCTGTCAGGGCATGAATCAGTATTTACTCTCTTCTGCCAAATAGCAATTTCACCCTTCTCAAACTTCTTTTCCCAGCAAAGAAGCTTGGCAATATCCTCAATCTTTCTCTGTTCCTCCTCAAGTTCATCTCTAGGGCGCTGCCATGACTTATAATTAGTCTTCCAGTTGATTGGAGGACCCGAAAGCACCCAATAACCACCCGGCCTCAGAACTCGATCAACTTCCATTAGGTATGTTCCATCTGCAGAAAAAGAATAGATGTGACCTCTAAAATTACCAACACTGCTTGCTTTTATTCATATTTTTGTTGTATAAAACTCAAAAATGCTTTTTGTAAGGTACATTTTGTAAGTGCGTCAATCCTAATTCTCACCATTTCCACCCCAAGGGATTAAGCAGCGAGAACAATGAGCCATGTCAAAGGCTCTAGATGGATAAGGCAGCTTAATGGTACCCAGAACACCAATAACTGCAGGCACTCCTCTTTCAAGAGCAAATTGAACCTGTGCTTCGTGAGAGTCTCGTGGTGCAAATGACATGGCTAGCACATTTCTACTTAGAAGATACGCACCCCAACTGGCAACCTAAGGAAACCACGAACAGAAATTCAATAAACAAATGCATGTACCTCAGAGAATTTAAAGTGCATCTAGGGAAAGTAGGAAAGAAATAAGTATGAAGTATTATGAGAATAGCATACCCCGCAACCAGTATCAAGAGCTGTCCTAACTGTCCCATTTTTAATAGGAATCACAGCAGCCAGCTGATCGATGTACTTATCAGCCCCTTGAGGAAACTGAGTTCCCCCACCAGGGAACCTAAATACATTGCCCTCATACTGAATCCAGTTCTGTATAGCCTTCTCGACGGTCAAACTCTTATACGGTGCATTCGCAAATGGAACATAGTCTCGACTTTTTGGCCAAGGGAAGGGTGTTACATATCCTTTGGGGGCTGGTATCAAACAATGCAACTTTTCTTCCTCAGCAGGGCAATGTCTCTCACGATAAAGCATGTTATTCCTGGGGAAGGTCATTGCACGCCTTTGATCTTGACAAGGAGTATAATCCGTATATCGAGATTTACATGGCTCAAATATTTTAGATTTTGATTCCGACTCATCAATAGTCTCGACCTCACCTCCATGATGCGTCTCAAAATTCAAATTCGAAACAATATTGCAGTCAGATCCAGTCTTAGTAATCTCCATAGCTATACTATCTCCCTTCCCAAACCCACTCCGCTGCCATGCCCCTAGTATGTAGAAGAAAAGACACAATCCTACAACTATAAAAATTTGGACCCAACTCCTTGTCCTACCATCACCTGAGCTTGGTTTGGGTGCCATAATGCCCCTGTATGGTTTCCACACAATAGTAAGTAAATTGGAATTAAATTACAAAGCGGCGCTATCAAAGTAGATAATTCATACGCATGTTCCACTTCAATTCTAACAGCTCTGGGTTGTAATAGCAATCCCAAAGTAATCAATGCCTAGAAGTATCATCTCTAAAATAATAATAAAAAAAAAAAAAAAAAAAAAAAAAAAAAAAAAAAAAAAAAAAAAAAAAAAAAAAAAAAAAAAAAAAAAAAAAAAAAAAAAAAAAAAAAAAAAAAAAAAAAAAAAAAAAAAAAAAAAAAAAAAAAAAAAAAAAAAAAAAAAAAAAAAAAAAAAAAAAAAAAAAAAAACCCGGATCCGCTCAGATCCGCAACAAGAGTCTTGAAAAAAACAAATACAAATAGTTCACCTAGTAAATCTCTCATCCCGACTATTTTAACAGAACCTTGAGCCCTAAGAAACGAAAACATAAATTGGATAGAAGTATAGCATAATTAAACGTGCAATAGAATCAAACTAAATCCGAGGAGCAGAAAGACAGCCCGCAACCCACTCACCGACAGCAGAGAAAAAGAATAAAATGGAAGAATCAGGAATTGAAAACAAAGAAAAGCGAAGTGTTCCGAATCAGATTCCTCACCGACGGCAGGAAGAGAGAGGCGAAGCAATCGGCAGCAGAAGAAGAAGAAGAAATAAGAAAGAGTAGGGGTGGTGGAACGGAGTTAGATCTGGAGGGAAGCTGGAGGTGGGGGATCTGAAAGGAAACGGAAGAGAAGAAACAATGAGTGAGAAACCCCACCCAGCTCCAACCAAGACTCTAAAAGATCTGTGTCTCCTCTCTCACTCCAAACTAAAAACATGTAAATTATTTTAAATACTTCTTTATTTATCCTCTAATTTCTTTTCAAAACATTTATGTTTTTTTAAATTAATATTATTTCAAAAATATTACTAAATTTTTAAAACTTTTTAAAAAATGATTAATAACATGTTTCCATATTAACTTTAGCTTTAAAAATAATAAAGAAAATTTTAGTATTTGTTATGTTTATGATATATATATTCTATTTTTTCGAGATACATATACAAACATAAAAATACGTAATAAATAAATAAATAAATAAATAAATAAATAGAACCTGACATAAACGGCGTCGTATGGGATGTCCAGTTCCAGTTCCAGTTCCACACCTGACTTGGAGGGAGTGGGGCCCTCACGCGCTTGATCTGAACGACGTGATTACGGACACAGACTGGATTGAGTGGTTTCGTGGGGCCCATGATATGATTGATGAGGCCAACTAAAGATGTATGAGATGGACGGCCAGGATCAGTTGAAGAATTAAAAGATATAAAAAAAGTCAACAGAAGTGGGAATGCGAAGACATGGGGGCGTGTGGAGGGTGAGTCGGTGGGTGAGATATTTGGAGGCACAAACCTTATCACGTGCGCATCCTCCTCACGTGTTCTACCACCAACAACAAACAGTACCCATATGGATTTATAACAACATTACACGCTAAAATCGAATACGCAACCACCACAATTTTGATAGCATATTACTCGGGTGGGAAGAATTGATGACCAATTCTCTATACTACATTTTGAGGCATTTTAGCCTTCACAGTTGTAAACATGATTTTGGTGAATAGTCGTACCCCGTTATGAACATGATAGGAATAGTAAAGACCTAAATATATATATGAAAGTAAGTAAAATGAGTTTGGAATGTGCATGTGTTCGTGAACAACACGTCTTGGACAAGCATGACTGGAACATTCGACACGCGACCACAAGCAATACGAATTGAATAAGCATGACCGTAACATTTTTCCCCATTCAAGTGGTTGACGTCTCTGTCAACAAACTCTTAACAAACTTAGCTAAGTAGGATGAGATTGATTTCAAGTCTCTCAATGCTCTTCCAACTAATCTTGTCTTGAGAAGTCTCTTCCAATCTGTCTGGAGCAGTTGAAAACCACTTTTTTAGTTTGTCAACTCTTTGACTCTGCTAGGTAAGAATCTCACTTACTTTCTTTGTGGTGAAACTCTTCTTCGTTCCATGAGGTGGAGGTGCCTCCCTAGTTTGGATGGTAATGGTTCAAGTTACTTATACAAAATTGATAAGTTAACCCTAATTCTCGGCCCGAATCAAAGAAATTAATATCTTCCTATAGAAATTCGAATCAACAAAGAAATAATGCTCGAATTAGATTACCTCTTAACATAAAGATAAAAAAAAAAAAAAAAAAAAAAAAAAAAAAAAAAAAAAAAAANAAAAAAAAAAAAAAAAAAAAAAAAAAAAAAAAAAAAAAAAAAAAAAAAAAAAAAAAACTAATAAATGTGAAACCTTGCTCTAAATTGAATCACTCCACAAATCAAACTTGATAAAGACTTCATGAAACTGATAAATTATAACTATTGATGTTCAAAATTTTAAGAGTAAAAATCTCAATGTGAGAGCTAAATTTTTATTCATCAAAATTTGTCTTTTACATAATAATTTGTGGGTATTTATAATCACTAAACAAAAACTTTCGATTCTTAAAATGATCACTACATAATTTACTCACCTTCCCTTTCAATCTCCACCACAAAAGTTACCATAAAAAGTTACTGGAATCTTCTTCCATTATACAAATTATGAAATTAAAAATAATAAAATAAAGTTTTCTAACAACTTATTAATCAAGGGTAATTTATATCAACTTCATCCGCTACTTCAATAGTGCAAATATTCACTTCTGAAGTTTCAAATGTTCATTCCTCAATCGAATCAACTTGTAACACATGAAAGTAGATGAAAAATGATTACTTGTTGAATCTTATTGGTCTTAGATCGTGTAATAGGTCTACTTGGAACATTTGGAACACCGTGATTCTTATTAGAAGGTTTCATCTAATAATGTTCCTTCTCTTCAGTTCTCACTACTCTCTTTTGCTTTCTCTTACTAATCTTTCTCTAATTCCTCTTCCAGTAGAATATTCTTCCATATCATTCGGGTACTCCATACATACATTCATTGTTGAATTCAATTTATTGATCATTCAATCTTGACGTTTGCACATCTACTAAGTTTCTTTAAAAACGATCTCTCCAAGATGATGGACACATCTCCATATGCATCGTAATCCAGAATTATGAAGTCAGTTGGGAAGATGAATTTCCCAACTTGGATCATTATATCTTCAATTTTTCCTTCAAAGTGTGTAATCAATTGATTTGGAAGCTTTAGCACTATAGTGGTAGGTCATGATTCTCCTCCTAACACCTAACCTTTATAAATGGATGGATCAAGGTACAGAGACTTAATAAGTAGTTTACTTGTAGGCTTTTACTCGTTTCACTCTTTCATGTCATGTTCTTGTTCTTGACCGGAGAACTAAGACTTTTAACATTCTAGATTACCTCTTAAAAATAAAGGGGTAAAAATAAGATTTTGAGCGAAAAAAAATACTTTTATCTATAATTGTATCCTTCCATTTCTAAAGTTGAATAACAATTCATACAGTAATTATTCAGAAGCATGAGACGTGGAGGAATGTTTACGTACATCGATAAACAGTTCCCTAAAACTTTGAGACTCGTGTCTGTACATTACATTCATAAATACATTGGGACACTAATGTGTCCAGGCAAAATTTCTGGCCTTTCTGTGGCACGACGGTTTGTAAGAAAAATGCGGCCAAGGTAGGGATGTTATCCTCCCGATGCAACCCCAAATGCTCAACTTATGCAACCCAATTTGATGCAAGGAAATAGAGTGGTTCAACCATCCACTTCTCCCTCCCTTTGTGACAATCTTCATTCAAATACTTTGGCACCTCAAAGATTTGTTCATCTCCTACTTTGACATCTTTTCTTTAATTTCCATGAGGGAAGTTTGCCTGGTTCGCTTGCTAAGAACTGGAAGAAGAGCACAATAATAGTTAGATGTTATGCGACTAAAACAAGAAACTTGATCAATAGAAGATGAATATTTTCAAAAGACCTCTTGTCTTGGTCAGATTATTGGAAGCAATGACAGAGGATTTCCACTGATTATAAGCATGTTCATCCATTGGCTTGCGTCGTTTTGTTCTTGAAAACTAGAAATAGCACACCCCATTAATAGTCAATACAAAATTTAAGGCCATTAAGCATGTAATGGAATGAAACAAGAAAAGAAACAGAGACGAGACACATTTAGAAACAACAGTAAAGGCTTGAAACATGATATTGAAAAACAACTCTTCTAGACTCAATTTTGGCAAAAATGCAAAGCGTGACATCTTTGAACACGGACAATTAGTAGACTTCTTTCATGAAATTCAAGTACTTGAGATGCAGCTACTTGGTACCTCTTCATTATCATCAGATAAGTAACCGCCATCCTCACGTTTCCTTTTTTCTGGCAATGCATCTAACATGTCTGCAATCCAATTGTGAGGTTGCAAAAGGCATAAGCTAAGCTAACAAAGTGAGAAAATGGAGAAAATGGAAGCATGAGAGACACATACCCCTGTTCCCTTTGGCATCCCTGGGATCTTTCTTTTCACTAGAAATTCCAAAGACGTCAAAGCACAAGTCCTTCATGGAAGTAGCAACCTGCAATGCCAAGAATTGGTTAATAATTGTCTCAATTTCATACACAAACTCAACGGAAAGGAATAATGTTCTTACACATGAAAATTCAGATTCAGATGTTCCACTGAGTTCAATGAGCTTAACTTTGTCAACCTTCAGCTGTTATATGAAAGAAGCATTTCCAGTAAGAGTTACAGGACACGCATATATCCATGTTGCAAAACAGAAAAAATGTAATTCATGGGGTACCTTGTGTTTTTTTGCACACAAGTAAAAAGCTGCAGCCGTAAATACTGATCGGGAGAAGTCGGCATTAGCACGTCGAGAAGCTGGCAGTGATGCAACAAACCGATCCTTGTATCTAAAACAAATAATGTCATGATATGAGCCGATCAATTTTAAAAAGACAGTTAAAATTCCAGATTAGAGTAACTGATAGAAGGCAAGAGAAATTCACTTTCCATTGATCAACATTTCAATGAACAAGAGTACTGCTATACGCGTATTTCATAATTCAATAAAAATGAGATTTGAGAAGAGATGTGAAGAAACTAAAATGAAAAGTTTCAATTATAGAGATCTTACAGAGATAAGCCATTTTGAACTGAAGCAACCAGCCTAATACACCCAAACTGCACTGCTAATTCTCTGATATCGAGCTTACTTCTGCAGCACCAAAGGAATTCGATAAACTAAATATATTAAAGAATCACAGAAACAGAAAGGTAGAGTTCGAAAGACGCACTTGAAACCAAGACCATTCTGAAACAAATTGAAAGATCTAGTGTACGCCTTTTCCGACATCCCACTTAACTTGATAGCATTGGATCTATCAAATAGAATCCCTAATCTGCGATATAATGCATCCATTCTAATCAAAATCCAAATAACAATGGAATCACTATTTAGAAACCAGAATGAAACAAAAATCAATCACCAATCGAAAGCATACCTCGTAGCGGCAATTTCCAAACAGATTATGGCCTTGCAAACCTCACCCTAAAAACAAAAAAAAACAAGAACGAGATATAGATTAAATACAAAATTGAACAATTACCGATCACAGAAGAATTGAAAGAGATGCAGATGAAAGCTTACAACGCCAATAGCGGAAGAATTGAACTGGAGATCGGAGAGGCGACGGAATTCCCCAGCTTTCCGGGTGAGGGTTTCGGAGTCGGAAAGATCGAGCTTCCTGGCAATCTTGGAGAGATCCATGAGGGAGGAAATTGAAGAAAGGGAAGGATTGGAGGCGCAGAAGGATTGGACAGTAATGGAGGAAGAAGGTTGTAGATAAACGAAGGGGGGAAGGCGGGAAGGGAGACATTTTCAGGGTTTTCGCGCGCAGTGGCTGAGGACGATTGCCGGGAACAATTTTGGCGCCAACCCAAAATTTTCGTCCTCACATCTTTTTTTTTCTCCTTTTTTAAATTGTTTTTTTCGGCGACATAAAACTGTTATTATTTAATTTATTTAATTTAGGCTTATTATATATCTCTTTAAATCCCATTTAATAATTTTATTACTTTAAAATTTTTGTTGGTTTCTTCCCCATTTATTTACAATACTTTTATTTTTTCTTAAATTAAATATTTAAAATTTTAACTTATTTTTTAAAAATTACTTTTCTTTTTTATTTTTATTTTTATTTTTTAAAGTTGCTTTACTCTTTGGACCATATAGTTAAATTTTCAAAATCTAAAATCAAATAATCCATCATTTACGATACTTGGTTGACTTTCAAAAAAAAATATCTTATGAATTACGCGTTCAATATATCCTGTTTAACAAAAAGACAGACATTCATTACTTATCATCAGACAATCACTTATTCACAAATCTCGTGTGGGGCTAATAGTTTAAATTTCCAATCTCATGGAAAACCGTCTTCGCTCCGCTTAGCCCTATCTCCCAGTATAGATATTTTAGTGATAGGTTCTACAGGAACGGGACAATTCTATTTGGTCACATAACTAGTGGCAAACTCCTATCTTCCTTTCATTACAGTATTTATTTTAGGAGCGTTTTTCATATTCTTAACCCAAGTATTGAAAAGAAAAAGAGAGATTTTATTGAAATCCATGAAAAGAAAATGGTAAAAAAAGATACATAAAGATGGTAATAACTAAAATGGGAAGGTTAGGTGAATGAATTGGGTAAAGAATGGTTAGGTTGAGCACACAAAAGGGATGTTAATTATGCAGTAAAACATATAAAGATTGCTGTATCCAAATACAAATTACTATTATTATATATAAACAGCTCCCCCCATGAAACAAAACACTGTGTTTTGTTAGTGTTTGAGTGGTGAAATGGTTGATCAAGAATGGTACAGTTCAAAAAGTGGAGTGTTGGGGGTGGCAACCTGCTTGGTTTGGACATGGATGATTATCCATAGATGGAACCAAAGGAAGAACACAGGTCCCAAGACATGGCCACTCCTAGGAGCCGCATTGGAGCAGCTCCTGAACTACCATAGAATGCACGACTGGCTTCTTGGTTACCTTAATCTCTCCAAAACTGTTGTGGTTCCTATGCCTTTCACTACTTATACTTACATTGCCGACCCTGCCAATGTCCAGCACATTCTCAAGACCAACTTCCCCAACTACCCTAAGGGCGACGCCTACCATTCCTACATGGAAGTGCTTCTTGGAGATGGGATCTTCAATGTGGATGGAGAGCTTTGGAGGAAGCAAAGGAAGACTGCTAGCTTCGAGTTTGCTTCAAAGAATTTGAGGGATTTCAGTGCCTTGGTTTTTAGAGAGTATAGCCTCAAGCTCTCGGATATTTTGACACGGGCGTCTTTGCATAACCAGCAGGTTGACATACAGGTGATTTCTGTTTGGAATCATGACCTTTTACAATTGTATGATATTGTCCACTTTGAGTATAAGTTCTCAGGGTTTCATACTAATGGAGATGTATTATTTACTTATAAACCCATGATCATTTCGTAAGTCAGCTAATGTAGGACTCCCTCCCAACAATCTTCTCCTCGAACGAAATACACCATAGAGTCTCCCTTGACGTCTATGTAGCCCTTGATCGAGGCTCGACTCTTTTCTCTAGAGCTCTCGAACAAAGTACACTTTTTATTCGACACTTGAGTCACTTTTGACTACACTTTTGAAGGTACACCATAGAGCCTCCCCTGAGGCCTATGTAGCCCTCGAACAACCTCCCCTTAATCAAAGCTCGACTCGTTTCTTTAGAGCCCTTGAACAAAGTACACCCTTTGTTTGACACTTGAGTCACTTTTGACTATACTTTTGACTACACTTTCGAGGGTCCCAACTTATTTGTTTGACATATGAAGATTCTATTAACATGACTAAGTTAAGGGCATAACTTTGATACCATGTTAAAAATATCGACTCTCCATAATGATATGATATTGTCCACTTTGAGCATAAGCTCTAGTGGTTTTGCTTTGGACTTCCTCAAAAAGTCTCGTACCAATGGAGATGTATTCTTTACTTATAAACTCAAGATCATTCTCTAAATTAACCCAAACCTCTCAACCATCCTCCATCAGTTCTGACAAGCCATGGTTGAAATTATTGGTGCAGGAATTGCTGATGAGAATGACTTTGGACTCCATATGCAAGGTGGGATTCGGGGTTGAAATTGGATCATTGGCTCCAAATTTGCCAGAAAATGGGTTCGCTAAGGCCTTTGACACAGCAAACATGATTGTCACCCTTCGCTTCATCGATCCTTTCTGGAAGATTAAAAGATTTCTGAATATGGGGTCCGAAGCTCTTCTTCAGAAGTCCATCAAAGTCATCGACCACTTCACCTACTCTGTCATTGCCACAAGGAAAAAAGAGATCCAACAAGCTCCAACCACCCCCAATAAGGTCATTTTATCGTTACCCTTTTACACTAACTTCATTCACTCACTTACTTATGCTATGTTATGACATGACAGATAAAACATGACATATTGTCGAGATTTATCGAGTTAGGGGAAGACCCAAATAACAATTTCACGAACAAAAGCTTAAGAGATGTCGTTCTAAACTTCGTGATTGCTGGACGTGACACAACAGCTGCAACTCTTTCATGGGCTATTTATATGGTAATGACTCATAGCCATGTAGCTGACAGAGTTTACTCAGAGCTCAAGAGCTTTGAAGAAGAAAGAGCCAAAGAAGAGGGAATTTCATTGCTTCACCATCATCCATCTGATATCCAATCCTTTGAGAGAAGAGTAACGCAGTTTGCAGAACTGCTTAATTATGATTCTCTTAATAGATTACATTATTTGCATGCTATGATAACTGAGACGCTACGCCTATACCCTGCAGTCCCTCAGGTATAAAGTATTAGTACTTATAAACCATTAAAGCTTTGGTTTTTGAACAATGAAATATTTTATGTTATAAGTATTTAGGATCCGAAGGGGGTTTTGGAGGATGATGTATTGCCTGATGGGACGAAGGTAAGAGCTGGAGGGATGGTGACATATGTTCCTTACTCAATGGGAAGAATGGAATACAATTGGGGTTCTGATGCAACTTCTTTTAACCCTCAAAGATGGCTCAAACAAGACGTTTTTCATAACGAATCTCCGTTCAAATTCACAGCATTTCAGGTCATTATTCCTTTATTCTGTTATACATATGTTGAGAGAGGAGTCTTATATTAGCTAATTAAGGGGTTGATTATGAGTTTATAAGTAAGGAATACATCTCCATTGATAATGTCATACCATTTGTGGAGGTATGTGATTCCTTACATGATATCAGAGTCATGCCCTTAACTTAGCTATGTCAATAGAATCCTCGAATGTCCAACAAAGAAGTTGCGAGTCTCAAAGTTATAGTCAAAAGTGACTCAAGTGTCGAACAAAGGGTGTAATTTGTTCCTGGGCTCCAAAGAAGTCGAGCCTCAATTAAGTACGTTGTTAGTATCAGAGTCATATTCTTAACTGTCATGTCAATAGAATCCTCAATTGTCGAACAAGGAAGTTTTGAGCCTCGAAGGTGTAGTCAAAAGTGACTCAAGTGTCGAACAAAGGGTTTACTTTGTTTGAGGGCTCCAAAGGAGTCGAGCCTTAATTAAGAAGAGGTTATTCGAGGGGTTCATAGGTCTCAAGGGAGGCTCTATGGTGTACTTTATTTGAGGGGAGAATTTGGTGAGAGTGGAGTTTCATATTGGCTAATTAAGGGGTTGATCACGAGTTCATAAGCAAGAAATACATCTCTATTGGTACGAGACATTTTGGGGAAGCCCAAAACAAAGCCATTAGAGCTTACGCTCAAAGCGGACAATATCATACCATCGTAAAGAGCCGTGATTCCTAAGAATATATTATTTAATGCAGGCAGGACCAAGGATCTGCATGGGGAAAGACTCGGCATATCTACAGATGAAAATGGCGCTTGCCATTTTGTGCAGATTCTACAAATTTAGTTTGGTGAGTGGGCATGAAGTGAGCTACAGAATGATGACTATTCTGTCCATGGCCAATGGCTTGAAAGTTACCGTAGCTCGACGCTCTTAAAATTCCCCTGTTTAATGAACTATCAACCAAAAGCATGTAATAAAATTACTCTTTGTTGAACTTGGGGCACCACTTGATTGGTTGTTGGATCTTGTTAAGTTTTTTGTGTCAGCGTTTCGTGTATAGGCCATCTCGACCCCGAGAGTGCACCTAGATGAGTTTTTGAAAGCTTGTCTTCTGCCTCATGTTCTTACTTCCCTAATAGTTGGACCTTGTCTCTTAGATGACATGATCTATCACAAGGGAACATTTAGGATTACCACTTGATCCAAGACATTAGAAATGTCATATTATCTTGAAATCTTAAATAAATAACTCTAATCATGCAACCATAACTTATAAAAATTTAAGGCATTTTATGTTAGGTTATGGAGTCGGTTGCTTATTTAAAACTTATTAAATGATTATATATCATGTTAGGCACTGCTTTGAACATGTACTTTTTGTATTCTCTTTATTCTTTCTTACTCTACATAATTGAAGTCATCTATATAAACTTCTAGCCAATATTCATCCTTGTATTTTCTATCTTCTATTTTTTATGTTCATCTATATCGAGTGTGTGTGTTGTTGTGCGGTCCTACCAACTAGACGAGATTCATCACGATCTACGAAGATGGAAAGCTCAAAGATTGATATTGAGAAGTTTGATGGATCCGATCTTGGTTTCTGGAAGATGCAGCTTCAAGATTATTAGTACCAGAAAAATTTTCAAGAACCCTTGTCGGGGATGAAGGCAGATACCGTGACCACGGAATAGTGGAAGCACAAAGTTGGTCGACCTTAAGGGTAATCCAGTTGACAATGTTTAGAAACATGGCGTTCAACATCATCAAAAAGACGACAAC